GGATGACAGATAGTCAAATGCCATCCACCGCCAACTGTTGGGATACTCTTTTATCAACAAATAGCGTGCTTGACCCTCACATTATAACACCTCCACGGACGAAAGGGCGAGCATGTTTGGTAGGACGGGGAAATTGAACCCATCACCTACAGGTTGCGAGTCGAGCGCCCTAACCACTAGGCCACGCCAGACTTATGTGTAACTCAGTGAATTGGTACTATTAGGAAGGAAGTAATGTTTTAGTTATGAAAGTGTAATCACTAGTAGCACAGTTTGTTTTTACAGGCGTATTGGTATATATTTATTTTGTTGGGGACAACGTTTCGAACATTTTAACTAGTTATGTTTGTTTGGTGTTAAGCGTACAGCTGCACAATGGGCTATCCATGTTGTGCCCACATTGGGGATCAAGTCTCGGATTTTAGAGGTATAAGCCCGCAAGTTTTTCTCTGAACGCCGGGTGGGAGGTAATAAACTAGCTACGAATGAAACGAATCAGAAATATGTTACTTCAGTATTATTGAAAATATAATTGAACGTAGTAGTTTTGCAAATTTTTTTTATTGAATTATTTCTATAAAGCTGATAAGAGTTTAATGAATTTCAACACCGGATCTTTTGTGGATAGATTATTTGTAATATTTAAATAAACCGATTTATAATGTTTTAAGTTATTGCGTTTCTGTAAAACGAATAAAATGTTCTCGAGGGACCTGTTATTTAACAAGACCAACTCTTTGACAAACACATTTTCATAGGGCAATAAGTATTGTTTACGTTGACAGAAAGCATAGAGTGTACACCGTGTTAATATATAAGTTTTCTGTTGAATTGGTTAAATCTTTTGAAATTAACTTTTATGTGATAAACACACATAAACTGTTTTAAAATAAGTTATGTTATTTGATGCGCCTTCTTGTATATTCGATTATATTTATGCTACAACTTATTTCTTTACAAATAAGTATTTATTTGTTTTGAAGTTAAGCACCAAGCTACACAAAGGGTTATCTGTGCTCTCCACACCACGGGTATCGAAACCCGGTTTCTACCGTTGTAAGTCCGCAGACATGCTGCTGTGCCACTGGGGGGGGGGGCTCCAAATAAGTAACCTGATCGTCAATGTCATATTTATAAGTTAGTATTCACGAGTTTTAATTCTATTCTCAGAGATTAATCCCTCCCAGTGGCACATTGGTATATCTGCTGATTTATACCTCTAGAAACCGGGTTCCGATACCCGTGGTGGTCAGAGCACAGATAGCCCTTTGTGGAGCTTTGTGCTTACTAACAAACAGGAACAGCAATTAATACATTAATTGTTAATATACTGGCGTTCAAGTTGTAACGTTTTTTTCGTTGGGCGTGTTCTTTTTTAATTATTTAGTAAAAATAATGCGAAGTGAAGTCCACGTAACGATGATGAATCGTTTTATTTCGTCTATAACGTTTCTACCCAAGCTGTAGGCCTAAGTCCACAATTAAAGCTTCAACGGAAATTTTTTGCTAATGGTACTGTACAACTAACTTACAAAAATAAATTTTCTTGTACAGTTCCATGGCTAATTAAATGAGAAACCAAAATACATGATAGCTCTCACTGAATAACATTTCTGATACTGAACTGAATACACATTAACTTCACCAAATGCTTATTCGCATTTTTATACAGTGTACATTCGTCTATAGATATAAAATTAAAGTTCTCGATTATTTCGTCAACGAAGTTATAACATTGAAAATATAGCATACTGCGACTCGAACCTTGGATCTATCGACCCGAAGCCTTGCAATTTAAACATCAGACCACTGCCAGTTCGCTTCTTGCGAGAGTAGCACACCACATGAATAAGGTTATGACATGTAATTTTTTATTCGATATTCTACTTATAAGTTTCACTTTGTGAGTTTCTTTATCTCTTAATTTCTAAGAGTGTTTCTTTGAACATTTATTACTATCTATCGTCTATCTATAGCATCTTATAGCTCGAACGGTAATGCTGCTTTCAAATATTTTAATATCCTTGTCTCATAGTTGACTTGTTACACTCATATTAGCTTACGGCCTGGCACGGAGTGGTTATTAGGGAGATTTACCTGCAAACTGAGAAATGTGGCGTTACAAAGTGATGGTTAATTCCCCTATTCATTGATAAAGAGTAGTCCAAGAGTTGGGGGTTAGTGGTGTTGAATAGCTGTCTTTCTTCAAGTCTATCATTTTAAAATTAAGAACGGCTAGCGCAGTTAGTTTTTCATTAGCTTTGCGACAATCCAATAAATAAACGTATTAACTTTATTTTCTTTTTTCTTTACAAATATGTTTGTAGATACACCTTCAATTTCATATAACTTGAACGTTTCACAGAAAAGCAGAAGATGTTTGTAGAAACACCTTTAATTTTATATAAGTTGAACATTTCACAGAAAAGCAGAAGATGTTTGTAGAAACACCTTCAATTTCATATAAGTTGAACATTTCACAGAAAGGCAGAAGATGTTTGTAGAAACACCTTCAATTTCATATAACTTGAACATTTCACAGAAAAGCAGAAGATGTTTGTAGAAACACCTTCAATTTCATATAACTTGAACATTTCACAGAAAAGCAGAAGATGTTTGTAGAAACACCTTCAATTTCATATAACTTGAACGTTTCACAGAAAAGCAGAAGATGTTTGTAGAAACACCTTCAATTTCATATAAGTTGAAATTTCACAGAAAAGCAGAAGATGTTTGGAGTTAAAGTTGATAGTATGTACGCATTTTAGGAAAATTCTAATTCATTGTACATCATTTAACAAATGAAACTTTCACCTTTTTTTCCAAGTTTTACCTAAAGTAATTTAAATTTCACTCGCCAGTAAGTCCAGAAAATTTCGTTAAGAATTTGCTTAGTTTGGAATTGAAAATCTCGAACTCTTTTTCTGCCTGCTGCAATTGGACAATTCTAACTTTTCCTTTCCTGATTGCTAATACTTGCATTTATACGATATTTAAATGCTGAATGATACTGAGTTTCGTTGTACGACACAAGCAACTAGTAGATCAACATGTTTAAGACATTTTGTATTTCAAGAAACTATTTTTCATCATGTATATCACAAATGTTCACCAGTGCCATCTATAGCCGACCATATCATTTTCTTGCGGTAGTATAATTTCTTTTTACTCTTTTGAGATAAGTGTTGTAATTGTGTGTTCAATATGGTTTTCCCAGTAGATGTACGATAAGTTTAGTGATTTACAACGTTAATTCGTGGTTCGATTCCTCCTGATGGACAGAGCATAGATAGCTTATTACGTAGCTTTGAGCTACAGAATGGTATCGCTGTAACAAACTACTTTATATACGATTGGGTTACTAGTAATGTGTTGGTTAGAGCCTTTTGTTGGTTCAAATTTGTGCTATACTCTTCGCAGCTTAAGAATTTAGTTAAGTTAAACATTTTATGCACTAAGTTATTTATCTAATTCTTCACAGCATTCATTATTTTGTATTTAAGTAAAAAGGCTGCGTCTTCTAACGCTCCTTGTATGATTATGTATATGAATATAGAATTGTGTTCGTCTATTCAATGCCCAACACTCAACTTTTTTTCGTTTGTTCAATTGTAGTTAAGCACAAAGCCACACGATGGGCTATCTATGTTCTGCCCACCGCGGGTATCGAAACCTGGTTTCTAGCGCTGCAAGTCCGCAGACATACTGCTGTAACACTGGGGAGCAACTTTTTTTGGAAATAATAATTTGAATATCTATTATTTAAGTTCAACTTCTTAAGCTCGAAACAAAATTGTCATTGCCTGCTGTTATATACAATTTCAGTGCACCAGTTTTATTTTTGTACATATTGATCTTTAAATGTACTTTCGTGCTCTTACGCTTGAAAACAAAGTTCAACTAGTATAATGAAAAATTAGAAGTAGGGTTGTTTTCTAAAATATTCAGAAAATTTCATACATTTGATTTTACACTTAAACGTTTGACTCTCCTATTCTACAGCCACACAGTGGATTTACAACGCTAAAAACCGAGTTTCGATACCCATGGTGGGCAGAGCACAGATAGCCCATTGTGTAGCTTTGTGCTTAACTTTAAACAAACAAACCTATTCGATAATTTCACCCATTTGTTGCTGTATGTTAAGGCAGACGATATGGGCATGAAGTACATCTTTACGAACATTGGTTTCTTTACCTTTTAATATTCATAAAGGTTCCAAACCCTCGTGAGTATTCTTAAGGTATTTATTTAATGTTTCTTTCTTAATAATTAATTATCCCAGTTATCTGTTTCTTTAACAAGTCGTTAACTTTTAAGAATATGTATGATACAGTGAGTCCATTACTCTTGTGATTCGTTGGTGTTCGCATTGCTTTTCTGTTATTTATAATTAACTTTCAAAGTAATAGTTATATTACTTTTTTAACCTGTCAGTTCACACTCATTCTAATAACATCTTCTTTTACTGCTTACGATATTATTTATCTCTTACTTAAAAGTGTGAAGCTTCTAATAAATTTGGGCAATGCGACTGGAGAAACGTGGGCTTCATATTGTGAGTTCACTATACGGAGGTGAAGATGAGTTATTGAATACTATTACAATCGGTGAAGAACCTGATTCACCTGTTTGAGAAAATGGACCCAGCGAGGGTTACTGCTGTACATACAGGTGTGTGATGACGTCGTTGTCTGTAGCTTCAGGTAGCAATCGTCCATTTCCACGCACTACTAACTTTCGCTAGGCAAATAGTTGTTGGGCAGGTCGACCTTCTTAGGTACCTGTTTGTGTTTTATTCCCTCTTTCCCCTTGTACAGATTTTTTAAACACTCTACGTTTAGCTGGAGAAGAGACGTATAGTTGTTGTGTGACCGGTTCTCTCTGCTAAGGTGCTTTTCGTAACTGTTGGTTTCATGTTGAAATTTGTGTGTGTTTTGAAGTACTTTAGCTTGAATAAGTCTTGAAAGATTTTGATTTTAAGAACAAAATAAATCAATGAATGTCAACATTGTAAATTAAGTTTTAAAGGTAAGGTAAAGTTCAGTAACGTCAGAAATGGCCCATAGATATTCTTCAGGAAGCAGGGAGAGCGTGTGCCTTCGTTGTAACTTGACAGTGTACCAGGTGGACAAGATTGGACCACTTAAAGACTTCACTTTTTTCCACCAGAACTGTTTCAAATGCTCCGTGTGTGGGACCAAGTTGACCTTGAGGACCTACTACAACAACCAACAAGACCAAGACGATAAAGAAGTGTACTGTCAAAGCCACGTACCGAGAACTGGACCGGGACACTTAGATGGAACATCGGTGGGTATAAAGGCTGCTTTAAAAGCTCCTAGACAAAATTACATCGTTAACGACCAAATCAGAGGTTCAGGTAAAGGAACCTTTGACGCTGACGCTATTGGAATAAAATCTGTCCTAAGTTCACCTCGAGTGCACGAGGCTGATAGTCGGCATAGACACCATTCTGCCGGCACGTTCGACGCCAACGCTTTACATATAGCTCATGGAATCAATGCCACCAAAGTTCAGAAGAGATACGGGGTTGAACAGTGTGTCCGTAAACTGGACGAGTTTCTGGTAAGTTAAAAAACAACAACCCTTGTTCTAAATACATGTTTCTTTATTATAGTTTAGTTGCCCCAACAAGACTTGTACCGACCAAGGACCAGATGATTCAGTTAAAAATGTTCTTCCTATACAATTTTTATTTACAATGCTCATAAACTATTTCAACCAAATCATATCGGTTTATTATTATCAATCTTCGAATATGTAAAATCAATTTGAATTAACTATTTTGAGACAAGAGGGAAAGAAGTTTGTGAACAACTGCATTCAACAAATAAACATTGAAGAAAGTCGTGAGGAACAAGTATTGGAAAACGTAATGTGAAATCTATATAAATATAATAAGTACTGTCTGT